TTTTTTTGCATGTAGCCGTCCAGTGATGCCAACACAATTTATTAAAGAGGCTTTCCTTACTCCACTTCACATTACTTGCACCTTTATCAAAGATTAGATGAGCATATGATTGAGGAGAGATGTCAGTGTATTCAACCCTGTTCCATTGGTCTGCAGTTCTGCCTTTGTTCCAGTACCATGCTGTTTTAATTATTACTGCTTTGTAGTACAGTTTGAAGTTCGGGAGGTTGATTCCTCCCATTTTCTTTTTCCCAAGAATTGCTTTAGCTATTCGTGGGGGCTTATTGTTCCATATAAATTTCAAGAGTGTTTGCTCCATTTCTTTGAAGAATGTCATGGGTATCCTTATAGGGATTGCATTGAATTTATACAATGCTTTCGGTAGTATTGCCATTTTGACAATGTTAAGTCTCCCGACCCATGAGCAGAGGATATCTTTCCATTTCCTCATGTCCTCTTTTATTTCCTGAAGTAGCGTTTTGTAGTTTTCTTTGTACAGGTCCTTTACTTCCTTAGTTAAGCTGATTCCTAGGTACTTGATTTTCTGGGGCACAATTGTGAATGGGATTGTTTTTTTCATGTTGCTTTCTTCTCTCTCACTGTTTGCGTATAGGAAAGCCATGGACTTTTGGGTATTGATTTTATAACCTGCAACTTTACTATACGAGTCTATTGTTTCTAGGAGTTTTTTGGTGGAAGTTATTGGGTTCTCTAAGTAGAGTATCATATCATCTGCGAATAGTGAGAGCTTGATTTCTTCCTTTCCTATCTGAATGCCCTTAATATCTTTTTCCTGCCTAATCGCTATTGCAAGTACTTCCAGTACTATATTGAACAGCAGTGGAGAGAGTGGGCATCCCTGTCTCGTCCCTGATCTTAGAGGGAAGGCTCTCAGTTTTTCCCCATTGAGGATGATGCTTGCTGTAGGCTTGTGGTAGATGGCTTTAATTATGTTGAGGAAGGTCCCCTCTATACCCATTTTGGCTAGGGTTTTCATCATAAAGGGGTGCTGGATCTTATCAAATGCTTTCTCTGCATCTATTGATATGATCATATGCTTTTTATCTTTTCTTTTGTTGATATGGTGGATTATGTTGATTGATTTCCGAATGTTAAACCATCCTTGCATCCCTGGGATGAATCCTACTTGGTCATGGTGTATGATCTTTTTGATGAGTAGTTGGATTCTATTTGCTAGTAGTTTGTTGAGGATCTTTGCATCTGTGTTCATCAGGGATATCGGCCTGTAATTCTTTCTTTGTGGTATCTCTGTCTGCTTTTGGTATCAGTGTGATATTTGCTTCGTAGAAACTGTTCGGAAGTGTTTTTGATATTTCAATTTCGTGGAAAAGCTTAAAGAGCATCGGGAGTAAGTCCTCTTTAAAGATTTGGAAGAATTCACTAGTGAATCCATCCGGGCCAGGACTTTTGTGCTTGGGGAGACTTTTTATTGCCATTTCAATTTCCTTGATGGTGATAGGTCTGTTCAGGTATTCCAGGTCTTCTTGGTTCAGCCTTGGGAGTCTGTAGGAGTCTAGGAATTTATCCATTTCCTCGAGGTTTTGATGTTCCGTGGCATAAAGCTTCTCAAAGTACTCCCTGAGGATCCTCTGAATTTCTGTGGTTTCTGTTGTAATGACCCCCTTTTCATTTCTGATTCGGTTTATTAGGGTTTTCTCTCTCCCTTTCTTTGTGAGTTTTGCTAGAGGCTTATCGATCTTGTTAATTTTCTCAAAGAACCAGCTTTTGGTTTCATTGATCTTTCGGATTGTTTTTTGGGTTTCCATCTCGTTAATCTCTGCTCTGAGTTTTATTATTTCCTTTCTCCTGTTCGGGTTGTGCTCCTTTTTTTGGTCCTTCTCCAAGCTCTTAAGCTGTGAGGTTAGGTTACTTATGTGTGCTCGCTCCTCCTTCCTGAGGAATGCTTGTAGAGCTATAAACTTTCCTCTTACAACCGCCTTTGCTGTGTCCCATAAGTTTTGGTAACTCGTGTTCTCATTTTCATTCGTTTCTAGGAATCTTTTGATTTCCTCTTTGATTTCCTGTCTAATCCACTCGTTGTTCAATAGTGCACTGTTTAATTTCCAGGTGTTTGATTTAGTTTTCTGTTTTTGTGTGTGATTTACTTCTAATTTCAGCGCATTATGGTCTGAGAAGATTGTTGATACAATCTATCTTCTTAATTTTATGGAGGCATGTTTTGTGGCTCAGCATGTGGTCTATCTTGGAGAATGTTCCATGGACGCTTGAGAAGAATGTGTATTCAGCTTTTTGTGGATGAAGTGTCCTGTATATATCTACTAAGTCCCTTTCTTCCATTGTTTCCCTCAAATGAAGTATGTCCTTGCTAAGCTTGAGTCTGGTTGATCTATCAAGAGGTGACAAAGCAGTGTTGAAGTCTCCCACTAGTATTGTGTTGCTATTGATGTCTTTTTCCAAATCTATGAGTAGTTGTTTTAAGTACTTTGCTGGTCTCTCATTAGGTGCATATACATTTATTATTGTAAGTTCTTCCTGTTGTACAGATCCTCTGATCAATAAGAAATGGCCTTCACTGTCTCTTATGACCTTCCTCACTCTGAAATCGATGTGGTCTGATATAAGGATGGCTACCCCAGCTTTTTTATGGGAGCTGTTTGCCTGTAGGATTGTTTTCCAGCCTTTGACTCTGAGTCTGTGTTTGCTTTGACTATTGAGATGCGTTTCTTGCAGGCAGCAGAATGTTGGGTTCAATTTTCTAATCCATCCTGCCACTCTATGTCTTTTAATTGGTGCGTTTAGCCCATTGACATTGAGAGAGATTATTGTTATGGGATTTTGTCCCATTGTTCTGTTAAAGTTTGGTGTATTTGAGGGGCCTTTCTTGCCTTAAAGTAGCCCATTTAGTTGTTCTTGTAACCATGGTTTTGAGTCTATGAAGTTCCTGAGCTGTTGTTTGTCTGTGAAACTGTGTTTTGTTCCTTCTGTTATGAATGAGAGTCTTGCTGGGAAAAGTATTTTTGGGGAGGCATTTATTTCATTGAGTTTTTTTACTATGTCCCACCACTGTTTTCGGGCCATGAGGGTTTCATCAGAAAAATCAGCTGTGAATTTTAAGGATGCTCCTTTGTAAGAGATTTCTTTCTTCGATCTTGCTGCTTTCAGAATTTTGTCTCTGTCTAAGGTTTTGGTCATTTTGATCAGAATGTGTCTTGGGGTATTTTTATTCGGATTTCTTCTAGCTGGTACCCTTCGGGCCTCCTGAATGTGGTCACAAGTTTTCTTCAGCTCTGGAAATGTTGTAGCAATGATTTCTTTGACAGTTTCTTCTTCATTGAGGTTTTCTTCCTGTCCCTCTGGGACTCCAATAATTCTTATGTTACCCCTCTTGGCTTCATCACGATCTTCTCTTGCCATCTGTTCCCGAATTGTGAGTCTCTTTTCCATTTTCTGCTCTTTTCTGGAGAGTCTCTGAACTTCATCTTCGAGCTCACTGATTCTGTTCTCTGCCGCTCTTACTCTGCTGCTGAGGCCTTCCACTGAGCTTTTCAATTCGCCTACGAGATTTTTCAGGTCTGACATTTCTGATTGCATTTTCCTCATTTCTGCCTTCAGATCCTCTTGTCTTCTATTGGCATTGTTTTCCATTGTTTCTTTTAATTCCCTAAGCATCCTAAGTAGCTCCCTTCTGAATTCCTTGTCAGAGAGGTTGTCTAACACTACAGTACTGTTGGTGTCATCTGGGCTAGACTCTTCAATATGAAAGTTTGATGGGCTTTTGCGTTGCTTTACCATTGTGAGAGGTGTGGTTTAGTCCTTCACGTTCACTGTTACTATTCTGCTTGATATGCAGTGTGAGTTAAGATAGGCTTATGAGTTATTGGCTACTGTGTTTCTAGTGGCTGAGCTAAAATAGAGAAGTTTCCATCTAAGAAGTTAGCTTATGGTTCCTATGGCATATGTAGTGGGAAAATATTTCGCGGCCACGTTAGCGGCCGCGGCTCCGGAAAGAGTCCCTGGCACTGGGCGAGGAGTTGGGAAGGTCTCCTGTTTGGAATTGGAGCCGTTCAGCTTTGTTGCCCAGAGCTGGGCCTCTGTGCCCGTCCCACGCAGATCAGGGGTTGAAAACCGGCTGTCTAGGGGCTGTTTCTAGCTGCGCGTGCCCAGAAAGGGACCCAGGCCCTTGGGGGCGGGCTGTACCTGTTGGAATTGGAGCCGTTCAGCTTTGTTGCCCAGAGCTGGGCCTCTGTGCCCGTCCTACGCAGATCAGGGGTTGAAAACCGGCTGTCTAGGGTCTGTTTCTAGCTGCGCGTGCCCAGAAAGGGACCCAGGCCCTTGGGGGCGGGCTGTACCTGTTGGAATTGGAGCCGTTCAGCTTTGTTGCCCAGAGCTGGGCCTCTGTGCCCGTTCCTCGCAGATCAGGGGTTGAAAACCGGCTGTCTAGGGCGAAACATTTCATACTGTATTCGATAGGAGTTGGATCAGTTTTTATTTCAACGTATGCAAGTCTTGTTTTTTCTGGCCTTTTTGATATAGGCGATTCTCACTAATGAGGAGAAGCCTCATTTATTTGAATTGCATATCCCGAATAACCAGTGAGGATTAACATTTTTTCATGTGTCTTGGCCATCTCTATGTCTTCTTGGTGAATTTTTTGTTGAGTTCTTCTGATTTTTTTTAATGGCTTTGTTTTTGTTGTTGTGATTGGGTCTTGAATATCACCCCTTGGTTAGAGGCTGTGCAAATATTTCCTCCCATTCAGTAGAATGGAATACTACTTTCAAAAATTACTTACCAAAAGTAGGACACTAGGTTGTGTTTGATAGCCTTTGAAGTGGCCATGCTACTAATGACCTGACAATAGAAATTGCCTAACCTTTTACCGAAAATCAATTAATGAAGGTCTAGTCCACTGCACAGGGAAATTAACACAGATCTATTTGTTTACAAAGGTCTTTTTAACAGAGTTATTTCCAAAGTCTTTTAAGGCTATTTTACTTTATTCTCTTTCTCTTTTACAGGTGACTCGTTCATCTTTGCTAACAGAACAGCCCGTTAAAAAAAGGCCTCTTTTGGATAACCAGGTGATAAATTCTGTTTGTGTTCAGCCAGAACTGCAGAACAATACAAAGCACGCGGATAATTCATCTGACACAGAGATAGAAGACATGATTGCGGAAGGTATGTGGGTTGTTTAGAAGGGAATGTGGAGTTTTATTCTACACAGACTTCCACTTGAAGTACTCACTTTCATTCTCACAAAATGCATTATTTGACTAAAATAATGGGAACACTAACCAGATGATTAGTGGCTGAATAACTAAAATACAAGATTGGTGTTAATTTGCATGGTGCCAGACTTTTGAAGGACTAAAGATGGTAAAAGTTCCAATATTAGAATAATTAAAAAAGATTTAGCAAAACAACCAGCTTTCAAAAAAAAAAAAAAAAACCCAGCTTTCTGTCTTTTTTGTTTGTTTTGTTTTTGAGCCACACTTGGCAGTGTTCAGGATTGATCCCTGAGCAGAGAGCCAGGAGTAAGCCCTGAGCTCCACCAGATGTACCTTCCAAACCAGACCAGACCAAACCAAACCAAAACCAGTACAAAAAGCCACCACTAACAAAAGTCTTTGCATGCTCCTTGCCCCCTAGACTGTTTCTCCCAGGTACCCCCTCCTCCTGGCTTAATAAAAAAAACAGTTTGCATCTCTAAAAAAGTACATTTAAAATATACAATTATAAAGAAATATTCAATGCTAATAACTTTTGGTATCATCTGATACCAAGATTTAAATATCAAGATTATTCCAGCTGTTTAAAAATGCACTTTTATAGTTATTTTGTTTGAGATCCAAACAGTGTGTACATTTTATTATCCATATAATTTTACTTGCTACTGGAAAACTTAGTTTAATCATGAATACCTTTTAGTTTGAGCAAAGTTTCATTTTTGTTTCAGGTGAAGAGTAGTAAAGATTTTGCTTTACTTGAGACCAGTACTTTAAAGTCAGGAAGAAGATAGCTCACAGGGTGGTGGCTGTGGGCATCCTTTATGTGTGTGCGGCCTGGGCTGTGCTCCAGTGAGGTGTGGTCCCTAGCCACCCACCACCCCAGGATGACCCTAGTGGCCCAGTCCTCAGCACTGTTGGCCCCAGCCATTGAACCATCAGCCCATGCAGCTGAACTGCGTGTAGCCAGGAGTGACCCTCGAGTCTTTGAACACTGCATAGGAAGCCCCTCTCCCCCCAAATGTAGTCACAGTTCAGGGGTTCCCTCCCATATCTACAAGCAGTAAAGAATTGAAAATTGTAGGCTAAAAAGCATGTGTAGTGTGCCCCCTTGTGGCCTAGAAAACCCTCAACATGTTTCGTGATCCTTGTGGTTCGTGGCCTAAAAGGCCTTCAGCCTATGCTGTGCTACGGGCTGAGAGGAGCTTGCTTCTGTTTTGTTCCCGAGTGGTGTGCTCGGCGGCTCTGTGCTGGGGATTGCTCATGGACTCTGTGGTTCTGGGAATCAGACCCGACATTTCCTTTGAATTCTCTCTCTTCTTTCTGGTTTTGGTTCATTTTGTTTTGTTTTAAGCGTCACTTCCAGTGATGTTCAGGGGTCAGTCCTGACTCTTCATTCAGGAATTAGTTCTGGCCGTGCTCAGCGGACCATATGGGACGCCTGAGGTTGAACCTGGGCTGACTGTATGCAAGGCCTTACGCACTTTACTATCAGCTTTGGCCCCTGAATTCTCTCTCCATCCTCTGACGAGCTTTCGACTTAATAGGAACTAGGTATCTCCATCACAGAAAGATACCCAATGATCAACAAATGTAAGTTTTAATGTAGAAAGTTAGGGTCTGTAAAATGGACTGATGTTGTTAGTTGGCATGTGTTCTGTAGAGGTGAAATCTGACCCGAGTCTTAGGTAAAAAAAGCAGAAATTAAGGATAATAAATAGGAAGAATGCTGGAGAGATAGTAGAGTTGGTAGGGCGCTTGCCTTGCATGTGGTTTACCAGGGGTTCGATCCCCAGCATCCCATATGGTCCCCCAAGCGCCGCAGAAATGATCCCTGAGTGCAGAGCCAGGAATAACCCCTGAGCACTTCTGAGAGTGACGTGAAGCGCAAAATAAATAAATGAACAGGAAGAATCTTTCTAGTTAGAGCACCATGAATAGTGGATTTTCAAATGCTGGGTAGCTTCAGGAGAAAGCAGTGAAGAGCAGATGGTGGTTCTCGGTATTGATAAGCAGTCATATACTAGAGTTCTTGGAAATTGGAAGAGGAGAATGAGTCATTCTGTGAAGAGGATGATCAGTGAAGATTTTGAAGTGGGCTACATGGACAAGAGTAGTTTTGGAAACTGCGATCTTATTATCTCATTCCTACTTTGGACAGCCTGGCAGGCTACCGAATGTAGCCTGCCCACACGGCAGAGTCTGGCAAACGCCCCGTGGCGTACCCAATATGCCAAATACCAGTAACAATGATGGGTCTCATTCTCCTAACTCTGAAAGAGCCTTGAATATGGCACTTTCTTAAAAAATCTCAGGGCTAGGACGAAGGAGACGTTACTGGGGCCCGCTCGAGGCAATCGATGAATTAACAGGATGGTCGTGATCGTTGTCATCACGTAGGGTGAATTAGGGCTTGCCTCTAATTGCTGTCTCAGGTAGGGAGAAGGAGAGGATTAATGGAAGGCAAGGCAGAGTGATTTGATAGGACAAGATACAGAGGAGGAGAGAGGGAAGTTTAATTGTGATTAAATTTGCTGGGATGGAGCTTATTGGTAGAGTACTTGCTTGTTTGAAACCCTGGGTTTGACCCCTAGAATCCCCCCACACCCCAAAGTGATTGATTTGATAGTGGAGATATAGCTGCATTCCACACAGTGTGCCAGCATTCTGAAGACTTGATAGATGGTTTCCCAAGGCGGTTTTCTTCTTTTGGGGGAGCTCCCAGGCAGGGCTGCTGGGCTTGGGTTCCACTTCTGGCCAACTCAGCCAGCCACTTTGGGCTCTGTGATGGCCATTCCTGGGGCTCCTCAGGGCTGCCCTGAGCGAGCTTACCCAGCAGTGCCCAGGGGCACGTGTGCAGGCTAGACCCCAGGCCCCACCGGGGCAGTTTCATAGACTCAGCATTTCTGTGACTATGAAAAGTTACACAGGGTGAAATGGAAACGTCACTGATTCAGTTGCTCTAGTTTTGGTTCTGTAGACATAGATTTCATTCAGTGTGTGAAACCATGGAAGGATTATTCTCTTTTAAAGGAATAGACCATGTTTCCATGTGGTGGGTTCTGTAAGCAGAATCTTCAATCCAGAGATTGAAATGGATCAAAAGAGACTCCTCTTCTTCTTGGGAGGCCCCGCTGACAGTTCTCAGTCAGCTGGGCTGGCGGGCCAGGCAGGGACCCGAGGGCCTCCTGCGGTGGGGATGCTGCAGCATCTAGGGGACCATGTGGCGCCAGGAGTTGAACTGGGTTGGGCAGGCCTCGCATGTACCCTGTCTACTGTATTTTCTCTCAGTGCCAGATTCTTGTTCTTCTATATTCTTATGTCTGATTTATTCTTAAGTCTTCTCTGGCAAATCATCATGTTCATCATTTCACTCAAGTCTTAAGGGAAATATAAAAGTAACCCCTACACAAAAATATGGAGTTTGGGCTGGGGAGATAGGACAGTCGGTAGGGCTTGGGTTTGACCTTGGGCACCCATTCTGGCCCTCCAGCACTGCCATGAGTGATATGAAGCCCTGAGTACAACTGTGTGGACTAAAGCAAACAAAGAAACAAAAATTGGGCACTTAAGTTAGGACATATATTCAGCTACTCCTTTAGAGACCTAGAATAATGTTTCAGTGAACAAGATAGAAATTTTATTTTCCCTTGATAGCCCCAAGGTAAGCAGTTTGGGCCTCCTGGTTTTGGTCCCAGTATTTTGTTTTATAATTGACATGTAGTACTGTAGCCTGTCCTCCCGCTGTTCATCGATTTGCTCGAGCGGGCCCAGTGAGACTTGTTAACTGTGTTTGGCATATTGAATACGCCACGGGGAGCTTGCCAGGCTCTGCCGTGTGGGTGGGATACTCTCGGTATCTTGCCGGGCTCTCTGAGAATCGAACCCGGATCGCCGCGTGCAAGGCAAATGCCCTACCCACTGTGCTGTCACTCCAACCCAACATGGGATACACAGTTACAAAATTGTTCATGATTAGGTATTGGTCATACAATGTTCCAACACACGTCCCTTCACCAATGTGTATTTCCCACCACCAGCATCCCGTTTCCCTCCTTCCACCTGCTACCCCCAGTCTGCCTTTATGTCAGGCATCCCCCCCCCCCCTCCCTCTCCTTTTGAGTATTATGGTTTGCAATACAGGTACTGAAAGGTTATCATGTATATCCCTTTACCTACTTTCGGCACTCGGTTCTTGTCTAGAATGATCGTTTCCAGCTGTCATTGTCATAGTGGTCCCTTCTCTATTCTAACTGCCTCTTCCCTCCCCTTGTGGCAAGCTTCCAACCATGAGCCAATCCTCCTGGCCCTCAGTCATGATTGTTTTCTTATCAGTGAGATTGGAGAGAGTGCCACCTGGAATTTGAAAGCATTTCTAGTCACCTGCCCTTGGTCAAAAATTTGCCCTGTGGCAGAAGTTGTTTTTGTTTTGGTGGGGGGGTGTCTACTACGGAGTGCTTTGACAACCCTGGGGTAGTAATGAGGGACATGAAGTGATGGGGATCAAATCTGGGGTCTCAGAATGCAAGGCAAGTGATCTCGCCCTTGGAGCTATCTTCCCGGTCCCCATAAACTAGTTTTATTTAGGGCTTTTCCAGGGGCTGCTCCTAGCTCTGTTTAGGAGACCACGTTGCTGGTACTGATTGAACTGGAGCCCACCTTGTGCAGGGCAAGCACCTTGACCCGCCTTTTCTGCTGACTCTGTTCCCATTTTAGGAATAAAAAATGGCTTAGCTACATCGCTTTGCAAATCCTTTGTCTTTAAATGAACAAACACAGAGCCTCTTTCAGTTGCACCAGAAGCATCTACCACTCCCGGGATTGGTCCAGTGCCCTCCGAGGGCAGTTATCAGTCACTTTGGAAAAGACTGTTTTATACTATGCCTCTTCGAGAACTGGATAATGTAAATGTGGTGCATCCAGCCAAAGTAGTGGCTTCAGAAAAAAATACACCACTGTTACATTTTTGAAAATTTCCCCCTTTGTTTCCTTCTTCTTTTTAGAGACATTAGAAGAGATGGACAGTGAATTGCTGAAATGTGAATTTTGTGGAAAGATGGGATATGCTAATGAATTTCTTCGCTCCAAACGATTCTGTACTATGTCATGTGCCAAAAGGTATCTTTATTCTGTTATATTCCCTCAACTTAAGCCATAAACACTGCAGTCAAACCAAAAAGCTCGTACAACTTACCAGTATAATCAAACAGCCTATATGTCATAGAGAAATAATATCAGCAGATAATTACCTATAGCTACTTTGGTACTTAACTGATAAATTTTGCTCTGAGAGCACAATGAGTTTTGCAATTAAACTCCTATTGAACTAGGAGTCTATTAGTAGTTAAGAATATGCTTGAAACAATCTCTCTTAGAAATAGGCCATTAATCTTTCCTGTATCAAAATAGTATTTATTTGTCAAATTGTTTTATCAGTAGTGAAATGCAGGAAATTACTTTGCTTTAAAATGTTTTCTCGGGGCTGGAGTGATAGCACAGCAGGTAGGGCATTTGCCTTGCATGTGGTGGACCCGGGTTCGATTCCCCGCATCCCATATGGTCCCCTGAGCACTGCCAGGAGTAATCCCTGAGTGCAGAACGAGGAGTAACCCTTGAGTATCACTGGGTGTGATCCAAAAAGCAAAAACAAAACAAAAAAAAGTTTTCTCTTATTTTAACCTTTCCCTATTTATTACACTTTTAAGATAGCTATAGTAATCATTGCATGACTGATAATTATTACATTACCATACCAAAAGCATATATAATATTTCAAAAATATCTTCCCATTAATATTATAGCTAAGTAGTACTACTAATAAAAAATGTTGTGGGCCAGAGCAGTAGTACAGTGGGTGGGGTGCTTACCCTGCACTCAGCCAACGTGCGTCTGATCCCCAGCACACAGATGGTCACTCTACTCTGAGCCCGCCGGGAGTGATCCATGAGCACGGAGCCTCCTGGATACTAAGCCCTGAGTACAGCGGAGTATGGCCCAAACAAGCAAACAAACACAAAAAAGTTTATTTTCTTTGATCATGACTTTAGCTTACATTTAAAAAAATTCTTTTGTGGCGACATATAGTTCATTGGGTTGGAGTTCATGCTTTTCATATGGGAGGCTTGGCTTCAATCCCTAGTTTCATTCACAGTGATCCCCCAAGACCACTGGGAATGACCCCTGAGCACAAAACCAGGAGTACCCCCAGAGCCACTGGGAGTGGCCAAAAATTCCAAAGTAAATAAAGAAAAATGTTAAAATCCTTCAGTTCTGACAAATTTGGATCCAGGTATTTATCCCTGAAGGTGAAAGGCTGCACACGCGCTACTTTGAAGTTCCTTCTCTACTCAGAAAAGCTATCCTGTGCCAGGTCATTCAAGGCCTGATTGGTACATCTGTGGAGTTTCTTCTTGAACATTATTTAGTATGATGCCACTGAAATTACTTTGTAAAAATTTGAGTTAAATGGGAGAATCATTTTCCTCAAAATTAGACTTCTTGGTTTCTCAGCCGTCAGTGTGTGAGTTACTCCCCAAGGTACAGAGGTCAGATTTGGGTCTCCCGCATGCAGAGCATGCACTCAGGCCATGATGTTACTCTGGCCTCAGATGTTCTTACTGATAGTCTGAGTCAGATTCTGTAACTCATGTTTTCATGTGGGGAGTTTATCAATTTGCATATACCCCAAGAAAGAGTAGTGGGCTTTGTTATTTTGTGATTGAAAGCTCTTGAGAGAAAAGACTGCCTTATGCACACATGCGCGCACACACAATCAGAAAAAATTATATGTCTTTACTATTTAGAAATACTGAAATAGGGAGCAATAGCACAGTGGGTAGGGCGTTTGCCTTGCATGCGGCCGACCCGGGTTTGATTCCCAGCATCCCATATGGTCCCCCAAGCACTGCCAGGAGTCATTCCTGAGTGAAGAGCCAGGAGTGACCTCTGAGCATCGCTGGGCGTGGCTCAAAAAGCAAAAAAAAAGAAAAATTGAAATATTTCAGGATATTTGACTTTACCATCACTCTTCTCCCAGAGGTGACTTCTGAATTGTTACATTATGATGCCTCTGCGGTAAACATCTTAGAAAGTTAGGATCCTGTCATAAGAAAATGCAGGTGGCAGAGCGAGGAGGAGAGAACTAAGAAAGAATTTCTGTTGCTTATTTGCCTGTCTGTTTGGGGAACTAAATGTCTGGGTACTGAAGCAAGGGTAAAGTTAGTTTCATTTCTTCCGACAATTTTCGTAAATGGAAACCGGAAACCTCTAGAGCCAAGCCCACAGAGAGGCATAATCACACGGGAGCCTGCTGAACTGTCTAGGGTAAAATTAGATGATCAACAGGAAAGCTTTTAAAAAATCCATTCAACCTTTTTAAGAGAAGCGGCTTTTTCATTTTCATAATATGCCTTACAGGTATTTATAAAAACATGTATCAGGAAAATTAATGTTGTCTGTGTACTGGATCTGGAACAGTAAAAATTAGTACTTACTGTCATTTTTCTGAACAGTCTTATTTCTTGAAGAAAATAAGAAATTACAATAGCAGATTTATATGCATAAAAAAGAGGAATTGCTTTTTTTTTTTTTTTTAGCCTTTCTGCAACTTTCAGAAATTTGTTTCTTAGGCCATTTATTTCCATTTTAATTTCTAGGTAAGGAATTGGTAAACTATGTCTACACCTTTTTTTTTTTGGTAGCCTATTTCATATGACTCCTCGCTGAGTTTTTAATTTTTTCATTTTTTAGATGGTTTTCTAAATTTTTTAATTTATTGACAGTTAAGAAAAATCATAATTCATTATTTCTTATACCTGCTTTTGTTACAGATTACAGAATTAAGTAGTTGTGATCAATTGGTATGACCCACAGTGCCTAAAATATTGATTAGTTCACACTATATAAAAAGTTTTCCAGTCCCTGTTGTAGGGCTTTGAAGCCCAATAAATATCATAGAACTTTCTAAAGCTTTCATCATGTCTTATATACATCCATACACCTGTCTGTATTAATCTTTTTGATAATAAAAGCAATCTCTCAGTCAGTTTTAAAGAAGTAGGTACTACAGTTTCCTGACTGATAACACTTGTATAACTTTTAAATCTAGCTTTATATTGTCACGCTTTAGTTACCACCTGTTTATATTTTCCTCTGTCTACTAAAGTTCAGAAATATAAATTTGAATAAACGTCTATCTAGTTAATGCATAATTTCCTTTCCTTCTGGGACCTTGAATTATTTCTGCTCCTATAAAGTCCTTTTTTTCTTTATTTTGCAGAAACTTTCTCACATTACAGTGTAACTGGGAGAAAACAGTAGCTTTTATAGGTGTCCAGTGTTATGTTGCGGAGCTAAGTTATGTCATACATAGAAGTGGGGTTTTTTTTAACCATTAGCATAAGCAAATCCATTCAACAAGATATCAGGGCTTCCTGTTTAGTCACGTGTACGGCATTTACTGATTCACAACTGCACTGTAAAGTCATAATAAATACTGAGTGGAGTGTCCTGTATATAATTTAATTATTTTTCTTACTTGAATCTCTTAGGTACAATGTTAGTTGTTCAAAAAAATTTGCACTTAGTCGCTGGAATCGTAAGCCTGATACCCAAAGCCTCGGGCACCGTGGCCGCCGCCCCAGCGGCCCTGACGGGGCGGCCAGAGAGCATCTCCTTAGGCAGGTCTGTAGAAACTCGCTTCACTCTACAACGCCCTTTTCAGAAACGCAGAGCAAAGTGCAATGCTGTGTTTTACTTGTACTGCATTTTCCAGCTTCCAATTACTTATCCATCTGCAGAAGAAGACTTGGCTCCTCATGAAGATTCTGTGCCATCTGCTATGACCACTCGGCTGCGCAGGCAGAGTGAGCGGGAGCGAGAGCGCGAGCTCCGGGATGTGAGGATCAGGAAGATGCCCGAGAACGCTGACTTGCTGCCAGTTGCACAGACAGAGCCGTCTATCTGGACTGTTGATGACGTGTGGGCCTTCATTCACTCTTTGCCTGGTATGTCATTCCCCACTTGGGCATCCCTGTTTTCTCGTATATTCACACACAGGAATGATGGGTTCACCCATACGTGTTGCCCAGAAGGGCGAAAGAAGTGTGTTTATAGATTACGTCCCATTTGCTATTGAAAGGTGATTTGTTTCCTCTCCCTTTCCTTCAGCACATCTGGTATTCAGCCCCCCAAGTCGATAAAAACTGACTAATTCTGCTTCCGCTGTGATCTCAGCTGGTGAAGATACTAAAGGTGTTCTCTTTTCAGTCTGATTTCTCTTGCGAGCCCAGTAGAGAGATTGAGTCACACACTTCCATTCTACTCTTCCATTTCCTATTCCATTTCCTTTTTATTTCCTAATTTAACCTCATCAAAATAAGATATGAGATGCTGATTTTTTTCTTTACATTTTGAAAGCTCATCAAGACCTTCTAGACGTCTAGATATTTACTTTCTTCTTTTTAAAAAAAAATCAACTTGTTTCTTTTAAAAGAAGCTGGGGGGGCTGGAGCAGTAGCACAGTGGGAAGGGCATTTGCCTTACATGCGGTGCACGTGGCCAACCCAGGTTCGATTCCCAGCATCCCATATGGTCCCCTGAGCACCACCAGGAGTAATTCCTGAGTGCAGAGCCAGGAGGAACCCCTGTGCACTGCCGGGTGTGACCCAAAAAGAAAAAAAAAAGGATGTTAATTGAGTCCAATAACTTAGTTAAAATAATCTGGGTCCTTTGATTCTTTGCAATTAGTAAGCATCAAGAAACATGGCTGAAATTTTAGTTTTTAAATAGACAACCAAAATCCAGCCATGATATTCCATTCCAATATTTGAGGACGCTTTCTAAATTGTCTGCTTTAGCTTTCATTTTGGTATTCTTTCCATCAGCTTTAAATCTTTATGTTCTTTATCTTTTTTCTTTAATACAGCAATAATCTTTTACTTTTCCACTTCCTCCATTGAGCTAGCTACTAAAAGTGTCTGCCCTTTTGCTCCTAAGGACACCACATGGTTAATGTGTGAATACAATTTTTTACTTATTTTTAAAATTTTTAAAAATTGAATCACTATGAGATAGCTACAAAGCTTTCATGTTTGCGTTTTGGTCATACAGGGATCAAATACCCATCCCTTGACCAGTGTACATTTTCCACCACCAAAATCCCCAGTATTTCCCCCAATCCCAATCCTTCCCCTGCCTATGTGGCAGACAATTTCCACAATGCTCTCTCTACTTTGATTACACTTAGTATTTCGACATCAGTCCCACCATTACTATTTGGAATTTTCCTACCACCACTCAACCCGTCCAGAAATGCCAGTGCTAGACAGTTTGTTTTGTATTGCTTGTTATAAATAGCATATAATGCCACGTGGCCACACGCTTTTGGGATTTTAAAATTTTAATCATTAGGGTCTGGAGATATCTCTGCAGCAAGCTGCTCGTTTCCAAGATTCGTTTGTGTGTCTCTGCATCGTGGCCATTTAGGAGCTTAAGGAGTAGCTGGGTTAGTTCGTGGCCATTATTTCAGAGTCCCGTTGGGGGGTCCTCCCCTGTCCCGTGGGGCCTGGCGTTTGCCGCTACTGCTCCTGCATACCTGGGCTTCTCATTGGGTTCTCATGATTTATTTTTTAATTAGCAGTTTTGCCATTCACTTTGGGTTTTTAACTATAAAAACCAAGTCGTTGTTTAATATTATATTTGGCCTTTTTGTGCATTTTATCAGTTCTTTTGCTTTCCAAAATAAATACACCCTTTTGAGCTTGTCTATAGACTTACTAAAAATTAATCCAACTATTGTTCTTAAATTATTTTTCTATGGTCTGGAGCAATAGCACAACGGGTAGGGCATTTACCTTGCATGCGGCCTACCCGGGTTCGATTCCTCCCTCCCTCTTGGAGAGCCCAGCAAGCTACCGAGAGTATCCCACCCGCATGGCAGAGCCTGGCAAGCTCCCCGTGGCGTATTCGATATGTCAAACACAGTAAGAAGTCTCACAATGGAGACGTTACTGGTGCCCGCTTGAGCAAATCAGTGAACAATGGGAGGACAGTACTGTAGTGCTAATCTTTCTATGAAGGTGACCATGGTCCCAGAAGCAAACTTATATAACAGGTGTTCAACTTGAGTGAAGAAAATTCAGAAAAATTTCTTTTTTTTTTAAAGTAATGTAAGCCACGTTACATTTTATACAGAAATTATGAAATTCCCCCCTCCCCCACCCCAAAGCTTGATTTTAGAAATGTTAAGGTGTTTTTTTTCTTTCCTTTTTTTAAAAAATGTGTTATGGTCACTTTTAAAGAAAGATAAAATTGCATAAAGGAGGACTTTATTCTTTTTGGGAAGATATGTCCTCACTGGTTGTAGTTTTAATATATAATAAATTTCACAGGCTGGAATGATAGTACAGCATGTAGGGCATCGGCTTGCACGTTGCCGACCCAGTTTGATCCCTGATATCCCATATTGTCCCCCGAGCACTGCCAGTAGTAATTCCAGAGTGTGGAGCCATGAGTAACCCCGAGTACCACTGAGTGTGATCCAGAAATTCAAAAAGAAAAAAAAAAAGATAAATTTCTGCATTTAGACCAGTTTAAACATCTTGAGAATTGACACTTGAAAGATCTTAAGAGAAAGATCTTCAGAGAACGTTGGTTCTGTTATCTTCAGAAGCAGCCTCTGTCTTCCAGATGGGGCTCTTGAGGGATGAGTTTGAGGCTTCATCTGGTAGAAAATACTTTCTTTCCTGGGGTGGAGGGTTGGTGCCCTCCTGAGACGTGGAGTGAGACTAGCAGACACTGGTGTTCCTTTGTCACTGGGCCTGCCTTCCCGGCCCGCTCCATGCCCCCAGGAGACATTTGCTACAAAGCTTCTCTAGGCTTCTTTATATGAACCTTGGTTGCATTTTTGCTTTGAGGAGTTTTTATTTTGGTTTTTGATTTTGTTTTTCTGCTTATAACTTGAGAAACTTCTCTGAGTTGATTCAGACACTTGATTTTATGACCATTTTATGGAGAACACTGTATTTAAAAAAAACACTTTATAATTTAGAACTGTTTGGTACTGCTTTAAGAGTTCCTTAATATGCCCTGGTTTTCTTACAAAGATTAAGTGTGACCTAGTTCCAAAGAACTTTGACAGGCTAAATATCAGACTTGTTTGTTTAATCAGTTACATCTTTTCTCTCAAAAGTTTTCTTCTGAATAGCTTAAGACAAATCTCATACCAGAAAATATCTTTTGTCTTCATTTCTTTATGCTCATGTAGCCTGGGTAAACTTGCTCTTGAGTCGTTTTGGCTAATGCTGGGCTCCCTCCCCCCAGGTAACTCCCCCCCCACCATCTCGCCCCCACCTCCACCCCTTCTTCTCAGGAGTGGTCTATTGCCACACTTCTCTCATAGAATGGAGAACCTTGTAAATCATATAGTCTCCTGTTCGTTTTTCCTTTTAAGAAGGGTTCCCTCTTTTACTGGGGTGCCTGCATCTACTCCCTTGGGTTTCTCTTCTCTTTTTATCATGCCATTCTGTTCCGATCATATTAGGATTTGTAGGCAGTACACCCAGGTGATGACCAGAATGAAAAATTTTCTTCTGATTTTTTTGTACATTGACAGGTTTTTTTTTTCAGGAGCCAAAGTTAGTATAGCGGGTAGGGTGCTTGCCTTGCATGTGGTCAGCCCGGGTTTGATACCCGGTACCCTCTATGACCCGCCGCCCCCCCCCCCCCCCCCCCCCCACACACACACACACACACACAGGGATTGGTCTCTGAGAGCAGAGCCGGGAGTAAGCCCTGAATAAAGAGAGGTGTGGTCCCAAATATCTCCCCCTCTTTTCACCAGAATAAATTTTTGAATTAAAAAAAAAAAACACTAAGTTTTGCATTTAACTGTAGTTATCTTCCTTAATTCTAATGTCTTTTGCAAATATCCACCTATTCCCTATCTGTGAATCAGTAATCGATTTTGTTTCTGTTGGTAGGGATTCTCTAAAAACACAATTATGTACTATTTTTCTGAATACTTACTCTCCAGTACTGAGTGGCTGGTTATATCTTCGTGAGGTCATTTTTCATACAGAGTGGTTTTTATTTTTTGATTTGGGTACTTGTGAGTTCAGCTGGGACCCGTGACTGTGTGCAGAGGTCCAGACTCGCCCTGATGCTGCAGGTTATCCAGCTGAACCAACTGGGAAATGCAGTTGGTAGAGATGTTGTACATGTATTTGGGTGCATTTTATAGAAGTAGAGTCTAGTAAAAACTTAACTCTACCTCAATTAGTACAAGTTATTTAAAAGTTCATATTTCTTTGACGAGTTTCTGGAAGCATATGTTCTTCTGCTTTTCCTCCTCTTCTCTATGTCCCTATTTTTCAATTTCTGTATTATGATATATGCTTCACTACTTTTCTTTTTGTGGTTGACTTAAAGGAAGTTGTGATCTAAAATCCAGAGATGATGTTCTTTATTACTTTATTAATATATTTAAAAATATTTGAAGAGGGTTCTCCTTATACTGGGCATCAAGAAAATACCACAGAGTTTCCTCATGGAGAATTCCTTTTTCTATTCCCAAATGTAGCTCTTACCGTCCTGTTACTTCTCATTGCTCCTGTTTTTCTGAATCTTAGTAAGTTCTGCCCTTTCTTTCTCTCTCTTCGTTTCTTTCCTATGTTCTTATAAATAAGACTGAAGAGAGAAGAATATTAGTTCTTTCATAAAAAGAAGGATGAAGTCACAACTAGTTGCAACATTAGTCAGTTTTGTGTGCCCAGTTGTGTTGAGAGCTACCTCTGGGAAAGGAAAAGGGCTGGCCCACGGTGAGTAATCTCACTTTCACTACACAGTTTCCGGTATGTGATAAATGAGCAAACCATAAACATTTTGTGTAGGGTACTTCAGAAATTCACACTAAGATGTGATAAAATAATAAGCAGAAATATTGAAAATCTGGATGCTGTGTAGGAAATGAAAAGGATACAATCAACAAAGAATGTCTGCGATCTGTGCTCTAGCAGACTGCATTCTTAGTGTTTGCTTCTTCATTCAGTTCCTCACTTACTCAGGAAGGATGTAGTTAGTACCTATGGTGCTTTGTGCTGGGCTTGTAAACAGGGATACACTGTTGTCTCCTATAAATGATACATTTACAATAGAAAGTGTAGTCATTCCTCATGGTGGTATCCACAGGTATGTTCTAGCATCTCCATTATCTTTTTATTTTCTGTTAGAATGCTAATTTGAAAAAAAAAATGAAAACTTTGCTGTTTTTATTCTTAAATTTATTTTTTTTAATTTTACTATCTCTTCTTCTGGGCTGGAGCGATAGCACAGCAGGTAGGGTGTTTGCCTTGCATGTGGCTGACCCGGGTTCGATTCTTCCACCCCTCTCGGAGAGCCCAGCAAGCTCCCGAGAGTATCTCGCTCACCTGGCAAAGCCTGGCAAGCTACCGTGACACATTCGATATGCCAAAATCAGTAACAAGTCAGTCGCACAATTTGTAGTGAGACGTTACTGGGCCTGCTCGAGCAAATCGATGAACAAAGGGAGGACAACGCTACAGTGCTACAGTCTCTTCTAAGTTGAGCTATTTTCAGGCACTGTAATATAGTTCAGCAGAATTATAGTAGAATTACATGATAATCTTAATGAATTGATTCTGTCCTGAGTATAAAGTAAGACTTTAAAATCTGCTTGGCAATTGAAGGTCATTAAGTAAGATTGGTATAAATGATAATGAAATCAGTCCTCTGGCACTTCAGAAAATGTAAATTGTTATTTAAATGGCACAATGTCATGTTTTATTTCTCTGTACTTAGAATGTAAGGGATATATCACATAGATAAATTCATGAAGTATTTCGGACTTGGATTAATTGTGAGTTAATCCAAGTCTGTTCGATGTTGACAGTATTGTTTTTGTGTGTGTGTGTGTGTGAAGATGTTTTATTCGAGATTGATCACTATACATTTTACCTGTTTACTTACTACTTACTTACTACTTCCATGGTATTTTTTCAGAACAACAATCCCATCTTAATTACTTTACCTAGATTTCAAATTCTTATTTGAAATTAGAGTGCCAAGATATTTTCTTATCTTAAGGCTATATAAATTTCCTTTATTTCTGAGCCTATATTTCAGATACTCAGACCCAGCATTACTGTGACTGTCAGGAGAAACATCTAATTGTTGTATATTAAGCCTAACTTCCTTCCTCTGATCAAATTCTAGGCTGCCAGGATATTGCGGATGAGTTCAGAGCACAGGAGATTGATGGACAGGCACTTCTCTTGCTAAAAGAAGACCATCTTATGAGTGCAATGAATATAAAGCTAGGCCCAGCCCTAAAGATCTGTGCACGCATCAACTCTCTGAAGGAATCTTAACAGGATCACAAAATCTTGTGATAACTCTCCTCACACAAATGTAATGTGTAAGGTAAAAAGGCTGAAGTTGGCCTTAAAAATCACACTTTCTTTGGTGGAGAGCCAAGCACAGTGGGATCTATGCCTCAAAAGCTGACATTTCTTCAACATATTCATGCATTTTCATAATTTACCAACATTGGTGAAATTAATTTTACATGTTGCACACAACATTGAAAGACTTGTTACAGAGGGCCATGATATTTTTCAAAGAAATGTGTTATACTAGATAATTTTTTAAAGGGTGATGTTTATCATTAATATAAAAAGTCCTTTTAAAAAGTAATTTGATGATTTACATTTTCCTCTTTTGATTCGGTTTTCGTATACATTTTTCTACCCTGTAAATTTTCTATAGGTTGTGATGAGAGATAACATTTGGAGTCCGGTGACTGGAATTGTATGAAATGAGGTATCATTGTGTGCTTTAGAGAAACATCTCTGTTAGTTGCTTTGTGAAAAAGGTTTGCATTCTTGGATAAATAACACTATCTGTGACTTGGAAGAGTTGGTTTCTGTTCCAAATTTGAGTGAAGAGTTTATTTGGTATTGCTAAATATCCTGCAGTTCTCAAGAGAAGCAGAGATGTCAGGTCAAGATGTCAGCAGTGCCAAGGTTAGGACCCTGACGTAGGAGTGACCAGTGTTTCAGTATTTCACCAAAAAGGATATTTTTTTAAAGGATCATAAGAATATTATATTGACGTATTTCAGATAGCACTAATGTTCTGCTGAAGTTTTTTCTCAGTTTTGTACATACTAGAAAGACTGAAAGTCTGTTAAATTGGCATATAAAAAAAGGTCGCATGTTCAAGTAATGATTCTCAGAAGGTACTGATTCATACTATCTTTCATATCTGTGTTCCGTTGCTCTGGTGAGGGCATATGATTATAGTTTATGAATCAGTGCTGGCGGGCAGATAGTTTTAGCAGATATGTTAGATATGTCATTGCTCTCTAGATTATTTTAGATATTGAACATGCCAGGTTTAGTAGAATGCGCGTTGCTCTTTCTGGATTAAACCCTTGAATGTTTCCTGCGAAGCACTTATACCAAGTGGTAGCTCTTGGATGGCCAGATCTGATTTTCTCTATGTGTTTTAAGGAAAAAACAAAGAAACAATTTCAAACAGAATCTTTCACTGAACAGTTAGTGTTCTACAGACCTACGACACTAAAACAGAATCATTTGTGAGAGCCCTGGACAGCAAACACACACTTTAATCTTATCACTTGAGATGTTTAAATGATTGAAGGAACATACGTGAGTGTTTTGGCAGAAGTCCAGTTCAGTTGGAAGGGCTGGTGGGTTTCAATCACTGTCACTGCTCTTTGCAAAAAGATTGTGTTGAGCTAGTAGAAGACTAAAGATGTCACTAGAGACATCACAGATATTTATCTTTTGGCTTTGTGTACATTAGAAAATGTTGATTATTTTTATACAAAAATACAGCGGGTAATTTTTTTAATCTTTAGATGCCTCTTGTTTGAATGTATGCTATGTGGGATTCCTTTGTGTAGTAATGGTTTAAAAAAAAAGATGTTTACTAATAGTTATATGTAGAATTAGAAGGTGTAATATAGTGTAAGGCTCATATTCCAGACCTACAATAGTTTGTACTCTTCATTACACATTTCTTCATACCGTGTTTTTAATTAATGGGTTACATGTCAAGAAAGGTTAGGTACTCTAGACTCATAACTACTTATTATATGCTTGACTTCTCTCTTTATTTTGCAACTTCAAAACACAAATTTAGGCTGAGCTTTGGTAGGAGAAAGTCCGTTTTACAGGGGTTAGAAAAACTAAGGAGACTCCTTCCTGGAATTAAAATTGTTATGGATAATCCACAGACAATTGATAGTAATTTTTTTTTTCTTGCAGCACACTGGGCAATGCACAGGGATTACTCCTGGCAGTGCTCAGGGGACCATATGGGATGCTGGGAATCGATCTGGGGTTGGCCGCGTGCAAGGCGCTACCCGCTGTGCTATCACTCCAGCCCCAGTAAATTCATTTTTGAAGATTGCCTCCCCTCGTAATAACCGTTATCTCTCAGAACTACATTAGCTGTCTCCTTTTAGGTATTAGCTTCTTACCATTAGGAGTCTCCTCTCACTGTCTTCCTCTCCTAGTGTCAGTCATCAGGAACTCGCTGAAAGCCCTGTGCCTCGCACTGTGTTGAGATTCCAAAAGAGCTTACAAAAAAATGGGATTCTATTTGAGAGCACCTTATAATCTTGAATGCTATAATCATAAGAATAGTTCAGAATTTCTATTGTCCTTATTCAAATCATACTCAGAAAATCTGCTTGTCTTTTCCTCCCCTCAAGAAATTGTTTTCTGTTTGGTTTTGGGGCTACACTGGGCATTACTCTGGCTCCTCTTGGCCCAAGGATGAAACTCGGACATTCTGCCTGCAAAGCACAAGTTCCAACCCTTTGAGCAATCTTCCAGCCCCTAAATTGTTTTATTTAGAAAGGGATCACTTACTTGGAACTGGTAGTTCTTGTTGGTGCAGCCGTTGCTTTCTGTATGAGTTAACCTTCTTATTTCCAAAGCTTCAGTTAACTTTAGGGGACAAGGGTAGTGGCTCTGGTTGTCACCTCCTAAGCTGGAAGCACAGCATGGTGTGGCTCGGGGAGGCAGAAGTGCACTTCTCACTCTCCCTCGCGCTGCCAGCTGCTTTAGGGGTCTGGCTGAGAGGAGAATGACAAGCAGGTAGGGGGCACAGATGGATCCTCTGCCCCTTTTCTTATTTCTTTATACAGACTCACTCTTTTCCCCCTGAGGAAAAAAAAGCCCTATACGTTTGAAGTTTTATACGCTTTAAGTCACGTGTTCCAAAGAAAGTAGGAAAAAAGCTGATTTATATAAATTTTTGATGTGATGCAGATTTTCCTTAAGCTTTGTGCAAGTGTGTGTCTGACACAGCCATGCAACTCTGGTCGAGTCTGTTTACGTTAAGTGATTGTGGGCCGAAACCCTCCACTTGGCAGTAGCAGAGAACTCTTCCCTTGATGGCACTTTGACTTTGCTCTAGCGTTCTCCACATGGATTTTTTTTTTTTTTTTAGTTCTAGTGAAAGGCTGTCACGTAGGAGTACTGAAGATAGAATGGGAAGAAAGAACTGTTGGTGAAGAAATGGAAAATGAGAGAGGGACAGCTAAGAGACCTGCTACTTGGCATATTTCTCTTGAACACTGAACGTAGTTCTGCACTTTTGAATTTAAGACTCATACCTAGTTTTATATAGAAATGATTTTTTTCCTTATAGGTAGCACACATTTTTTTTTGTTCCTTGGTATACTGTTGCATTTAGAACCATATGAAATAAATAATGTTGTAACTATGCCTTTGAATACTTTTTGACATACTAGTTTTCATATATCAAGTGTGATATTAAAGTCAGATACTTATTCAAGTACCGGTCTTAGGTGGAAATCTGTCATATGTCCATCTCACTGACTCGTTCAGCCGAATGTCATGAAGTTCTGTTATTTGCATTTGTAGTGCTTTGGTATCACCACAAGTAAGGTAGGGAAGCAGTATACTTGTTCAGTCCTAGGTTATTTACACATGTGTGAAGAGTTTGGGAAGGAATAGTCTATGACATATATTGTGTGTAATGATGCTATCCTAATAGCCATATTGAGAGTACATGAAACATGAAATACTTGGCTGGACATTCAAGATACATTTTGTTTCTTTTCCTTTCTGGATTTTGAGCCACATTTGACTGCTCACGGGTTATTCCTCATAGGGCTTGGGGTCCTTGGGAAGACCAAACCCAGGTTGGCCTTACTCACTGTACCATCTCTCTAGCCCCTTAAAGAGACATTTCCAACCAGGACAAGCCTGGTTGTATTTGTGGTTCGAAAAACTTCTCTGTTCAGTGGCTGGCGCACACACACCGTCTGAGCTGCAGGCTGGCAGTGAGCACTCACTATCTGGTGGCAGGAAAGCCTCCCTCCCTCTTTCTGTCCCGAAAGTCTCATCCAGGCCCGAGGAAACAGTACAAAAACTTGTTTCTTAGAGCCTTTGCTTCTGAAAGCCTTAGAGGATTTGGTAGTGAGGCTGATTTTAGGAATCCCACTAGAGCAGGACTTTCTATTACTTGAAAATCATGTTTTAGGAAAGTCTCTGGGCTGTGGAAACCATCCATATTTGGACAGTGTTTAGTGTATTTCCTGCACATTCTGTGTGTAACTAGATGGGCCTTGAGGAACGTTTTCTAGGGGGAAGAATGGGCGATGAAAAGTTCCAGACTCAAAAGGACAGGAGTTGACTGAGATCATGCAGCGACATATGTGACCTTCAAAATAATACCCAAAATAAATCCAAATAATAATTTGGATCCCAGCTAAAATAGTGAAGACATCATGATACGATGTAAAAAATGTCCACGTACTCAAACTAACTTATTCATTTGTCTGTATCCAGTGACCCCACCTCTAGGAGCACAGATCTCACGTTACGGGATTGGGGGTGTTGCTCAGTGGTAGCGTCCTCTGTACGTGAGGCCCCACGTCTGATCTCACTACCACAAAACAGCAGAAATGCTTAGAGCTTAATTGTGTAATTATCCAAATTGAAGAGGAGAGAGCATCCTTTTTTAAATACCACAGTTGAATCGGTCTTACAGATTGTCTTAAAGAAAGGCATTTTTTCACAGTATTTTAGTTGCTAGAGAACTACAGGTTCCCTTTATTAGTGTGGGTTTCTGCAAACACAAGCCTACCTCTGTTTGATGCACTCCACATTCATCAATACTGATATTTTAGTACTGTTAAGAGTTTTAAAGATTGTGATTCAGTGTAGATAAGCACAAGTGCAGTATTAGGAAAAGTAAGTATGTACTCTTACTAAAAATATTAACATCTTTTTAAAAAGCCTTTGGAATTAGAAGTTCATAATATCAATATAGTTTGCTTTGTAACTATACAAGCCATTTATTTGATAAAAAAGATAATTCTGTTATCTTCTTTGGAAGTTTCGTAATTTTTTTTTTTTTGAGCCATACCCAGTAGTGCTTAGGGCTTACTCTGGGCTCTGTGCTCAGGGATCATTCCTCACGGGGTTCAGAGCATCAGATGGGTGCTGGGGATCAAAACCAGGTTGTTTGTATGCAAGGCAAGAGCAGTACTTTCATTCTGGCCCCAAATTTTAAAAATTAACTTGACACATTGTTAGAGCTTATTTAATCTGATTTTAAAATAATAGTGTGATAAAGTACTCATAAAAACATACCATTATATTCTACAGCAAAACATGTGGCTTTTCCTGAACTTTCAGTACGTATACATTTAGAAAGAGCCCACCCCACACCTCCTTTCAGATCTGAAGTCCAAGTTCTCTGAGGAAAACTCTTCCATTTTTGGCCTAATGCAGGAATATACATTTTTAAATTTCATGTTTAAGAATTAAGACACTTTTTCTTTTGCCAAAAGTTTAATCCCTGGCAACACAGAGCAAAAAGTATCCCCCACAACCACTGATGTGACCCCCCCAAACCTCCCAAAACACATAGAAATTCTATGTCTACAGATCTTTTTAGGAAATGTTTTCCATGAATGTTTTTTTCCCTTTATAGGGAAAAATTTATATATAGCTCATGAATATTTAATTTTGTTTAAAAATGACACTTTAAGATATTAGAGCTCATTAGGAAAAATTTTTTTCTATTGCCTTCAAGAAGTAGGGTTGCTCAGATGATATTGTTGGCATCAGTATGAATCCATAGAAAGCCTCTGCAAAGGGTCTTTAAAGTGTATGCCTAAAAGATAGGTATTGTAATGTATGGAATTTAGTTTGGGAAAAAGAAATCAGTATAAATTGAAAACAGCTAATGTTTTCATTGTACAGTTCTAAATGAAAGAATAGTATATTTTATATCACTCCTGTAAACTGACTACAGTAATTTTAAGGATTGCTAATAGCCATCATTTATTGGATTAAAGGTTAAACATTAGTGAATAGTTTTCAGTGTTAGATCCAGGTTTGTGTAGCTTTAATTGGTGGCTGTGAAAAAGTTGTTTCTAAGAGATGATGGATGGTAGTGAAATAGGCAAGAACCTAGTTCAGAAGGAACTTTTTAGTGGTGCCTCAAGTCAACCCAAGTGTTCAGTGCTTAATCTTGGAGAATACTTGGGTTAAATGTAATAGTCCTTAAAAAAATTCTTTTTTGGGGGGTGGAAAGATAGTGCAGGGGGGGGTAATACACTTGCCTTGCCAGTGACCAACTCTGGCTTTTTCCCTGGCACATCATATATTCATCTGCGATCCACCAGGAATGATCCCTGAGCACAAGGATGTGGTCCAAACCCCTCCCATCGCCCTCCAAAGAGTGTTTTTGTTTTACAAAGTAATAAAATAATGGATGGACACAGAAATAGGGTAAGGATAAGAGACTGGGGCTTCCTGTTGCTTAATTAACTGAATGTGCACTGAAGACAATTACTTAGCTTTGAACTTGACTCATTACTGGAACCAAAACTATGATGGTTGAACTGATACTTCCCAGAGTAGGATACAACCCACTCCCAGGATCCTGAAATGACGGAGATTTTTGTTTGTTTGCTTAAAGATGGTGACTTTCCAAGAGGGAGCAGAATAATTTTTTTTCTTTTTCTGAAAAGCAGGCAGTAGACCAACCAAGTTTGGGAACGTCTGGTTTAAATCTTCCTTCAGGTACCTCTCAGCTCTAAAACAATAATCCTAGACTGAATACCATGAGGATTTTATTATTTGTTTAATCTCTTTTTCTTTTCAGTGCTTCATTTTATACTTACGAGCTTTGGATAGAAGGTAATTATTTTGTTCTAAGATGGAAAATTCAGAGATGAGCAAATGAGGGCAGTGTTTCTTGTAACTTACCCTATGGAACATTTGAACAACATGAAAATTGTCATTCATGTCTTTGTTCATCTGTATATAACAAATCACTAATCATTCACAGTGTACATTCTGTATTTGGTGAATATGTCTTTAAAAACTAGTAATAAGGAAACAGAATCTTTCCAAATCTTGATTATTGTAGCTTAAACACACATGTAATTATTTCTATTTGATGTACTACACATGAAGTTGGAACTTGGGTTTTTTTTTTTTTTTTTTTTTGCTTTGGGTAAAGGATCACACTAGATGACAGCTCAGGTCTGAGTTAATATCACATCGTATGATTCCTATAACACATTTTACACACTAAACATCAACCGTGGAATTGAATAGGTCACCTCAAGATTAAAGGTTTGAGACTGTTTTGAGACCTTAGAACGAAGAGTTAGAATTACTGTCACAGTTCAGCCTGTGTGTCAGTGACAAGTTTAACCACAGTGGCTTCATGCCAACACTGATCGCGCAGGAACTTTCTAGGAGATCTCTAAACAGCTTTATTATTTTTAAAACGAAAAATATTACAGAAAATAGATTTTATTACTGTAAATATCTACATTTTAGAAAGCACATGTTTTGCATACGAGGAAGGCTTCCTCTCTCAAATATAGAAATGGGAAACACAGAAACAGCACTGTGCTGATTTCACTGGTACCTGGAGGGGAACAGTGGGAGCACTGATTGTTCTTGGGCAGAGTCCTTACTGCTGTGGATTCTGTGAAGAGTCTTTTAGTTTGTACTAATAGCTTGTTACGTATTAACATTACTTATGCTAACCTTCTCCATCAAGATACAAAATGAAAATATCTAGTGTGCATCTTAAAGCAGGAAAGTATCCAATTAAGTGTTGGGTTAGAATTTGTAACTAATGAGGAGAATAGAAACACAGATAGCCAAGTAATCGGTTTCATTTTTAAATATTTTCCATGGTACAGTTTAAAATTTATTTTGGGGGCTGGAGCAATAGCACAGTGGGTAGGGCGTTTGCCTTGCATGCAGCTCACCCAGGTTCGATTCCCAGCATCTCATATGGTCCCCTGAGCGCGAAGCCAGGAGTAACCCCTGAGTATCGCCAGGTGTGACCCAAAAAGCAAAAAAAAAAAAAAAATTTAAAAAATATTTTAATTTACCTGGTCTTTTAAATATTTTATGTTGTTTAAATACCTATTATGTAAATACTTTTTTTTGTATGCTTAAATTTTTAGGAATTACAGAATGTGTAAAGCTAGTTAATTTTGGATGTATAACCTTCAAAATGTTTAGAGTCTCCCATTCTCTGCATTCAGAAGACCTCTGCTCTTTTAGTTTCTCCTATGCAAAACCAAAGTGAATCCAGGTCAGTCCAGTAGCTCTCCTCAAGGGAAAGTCAGCCACTGCTGAAGGCGGGAGTTGCAAGTGGCCGGTGCAGATGGGCACTGACACCAGTAACAGGAGTTTCAAGCCTCTTTGTTCAGTGAGCGCTTTTTGTCCTCTTGTTAAAAATATTTTGCTGATTTGACAAAGACAAATTGTGATCTGCTTTTTAAATGAACATTTTCTGTGTTTCAGGCACATTAAAATTTTTTATTCCTTTTTGGTTCCTTCCATTATTTATTGTAGGGCCTTCGTATTATTAAAACCTCAAAAGCTGATCCATCTCGAATGAACAATGCATCATCAAAAGGAAAGAGAAAATTTATCTTTATTGAAAACAAATGTTATGGCTATACATAGATGTTTTCTTTACCCTGAGTATTGTATTAGCGTCCTCCTTCGGGAAATGAAATAGTTTTAGTCTCCTTAGCATTAGCGATCTGGGATTGGTGTCTGTAGCTTCGGTTTAAAAATGTATAATCTTGAAAATGAAGTTAATTCTTACATTGTAAGAGCACACCATGACCTATGTAAAAAGCTGTCCATTTGGTGTATTTTTTTTTTTAAAGAAAGCACTTTCATATGAACAAGTAGCATGTGTGTGAATCTTAGATCTTCATATCTGTTGTGTCTGTATCCAGTGAGGTAAAATCGAGCATTCATATGTTTGTTGATGGCAACATTAACTGTTAAAGCACCTTATACTCTGCTGCTTAAACTTGCTTGTGATTGCACCTTTGTTCCTGCACATTTTCACATAGAGTATTGTAACATTGCTTCATGTGGGTCTGGAGGGAAGGTTAGTGGGCCTGCAGGATCGTTTATTTATATTACAATAATATATTGTAGACCAGTTGTAAGTTCATTTCTTTACAAATAAAAGCCTCTTCCCTTTGGCGGATCTGTTGATTTCTTTTTTTGCCTCTAAAGAACTTTCATGAGGTTTCAAAATAGTCAGATTTTCCCAGCTAAAAAACCTGTGAAGAAATATTTACTAATCTCATGCAGTATATTAAAAAAAAAAACTCTCCTCGCCATTTTTTCCTTCTTATTTTGGGAGTGTGGGCCATACCTGAAATGCTCAGGGATTACTCCTGACAGAGCAGGGACCATGACTCCACTGTTACCTCTCAGCTTTTAAAATATTGTACCATCTAGTAGAGTAGCTAGTCACTGAGCATAGTCGTAGGCATAAAAGCCAGGCCACACTCCCTGGGATTTTCTATTCGAAGCCAGAAGATGCTTTAAACTGGAATGATAGAAGTCCTGAGCTCTTGGCAGCTACATGTTCACAAGCAAAACCAAAACTAACCTAAAAGGTTGTAGTAGTAGTTTACCGTGTCATCTTTGTAAGTACCCAACTTTTTCTTACAATGGCACTGATTGGATTGATAATTACTTGCAACTTGAGAAATTTCAAATTATCCAGTAGCATGTCACTAATTGTCTTTTCTAGATAGTGTGGTCTTTTCTAGACTTGTGTGGTCAAGCAAACTGTTTTCTTGATAGTGTCAAAACTCAAGGCAAATTTTGAGATATTTATGGGGACTGCATAATTTTAAGTGAAAAATATTAGGCAACAGCATTCTTCACATTTAACTTGAGATCATTCTAGGTCTTTGCTTTATTTTTGTGGGCAGTACCTGGTGGTGCGCAGGGGCTCCAGTGCGTGAGACCCACTCACTGGGGTCCTCGCCTGGTCCTCCAGCCGACCAAGCATGCACACCGGCCCTTTGAGCTATCGTCCGACCTGACTTGAGCTCCATCCTTTTTGTTTTGTTTTGTTTTGTTTTGGGGCCACACCTGGTGATGCTCTGGGGTCACTCCTGGCTCTGCACTCAGTAATTACTCCTGGCGGTACTGGGGGACCAAATGGGATGCTGGGGATTGAACCAGTGCCCTACTGGCTGTACTGTCACTCCAACCCCACATATCTGGGTTTTTTTTTTTTTTAGCAAGTATGATTTTTTCCCCTTGGAATTATTTTAAAATAAATGAATAGGTCGAGAGGGATAGCAAAGTGCCTTGGTTCGACACCTGGCACCACATATGATCCCCCTAGTCCCATCAGGAGTGATCCTTGAGTGCAGAGCAAGGAGAAAGCCCTGCGCACTGCCAAGTGTGACTCAAAAAAACATAAAATGAATGAATTCCATAGCCATCAAAGTATATAAAGATGAAAGCCAGAGGAGGGGTATGAAAAGTTTCAGTTTATTCTTTGTGTATCTGAATCATCATTCCCATTTGTAAAATTAGAACTATGGTTGTTAGTTTCAGTTATTTCAAACAGGGTAACGTATTAACAAACTATTATTGATATAGGCTTTTCAATTTGCTCCAGAGTATTGATTGTAAAGGGAATGAAGCAGCATTTCCAGCTAACAAACGGATCTATAGGTAACACAAGACCTTGTAACGTAAGCTTGTGACAGTTACACCAATAAACTGTAGCAATGAGAAAACTATTGACAAAAAACAACCATGGAATATTCATCTCAATATACGCGGGAATCTGTACTTTAAATAAAAGAATGATTACTTGAAGAAATACAAATGGTAACCAGGTACCAAGGAAACAGACGATGAGCTTGGGCAAAAGCGTTTTTTTACAGTTGACAGTATAAATAGAGTGGGATGGCGCTGGAAAATACAGGATAGTCTCGTTCATGTAAGAAGTGATCCTGATAGCCTGGACCAAGGTGACAACATCTGTCCAACAGGCTAGAAAAGCTATAAATAGGATAATCACCATGAAACATGAAAGCCAGTAGCCCTGCGTGCTGACACAGACAGGACACTGAGAAGAAGTCACATGCTGTGCCTGCAGGCTTTGGTAGATGGCTGGATCTCCCAAAATATAAGCAAGGATAGAAATCCAAATTAAAAGGACTGTAAAGATGTAAAATAATTTTTGCCACTTATCTGGAAGTTTGGCGGTTTTAGAGAAATTCAGGTAATAATCTATACAAGCTATGAAGAAAACTGGGTAATGCAAAAAACCGTAAGTACAAGAAATAATTTGAGTAAACAAGCAGATGTGGTATTTCGTAAACCTCATACCTAAAAGAACAAACTCCCTGGAATAGAATATAACGGAAATATTTACCAAGAGTAAAAGGTCCATGAATGCCAGAGAAATGCAAAAGTATTCCATAAAATTCTGATAGGTGTTTTTCCTTCTCATTCCCAGTGTTAGGATATTTAATAATATTTTCCCAAGAATAATCAAGAAAAGCAAACAGTTACCATCAAGGGGTTGATTTGTCTGAAGTACCTGGTATTGAAAAGAACAGTTCTCTGAAGAAAGAGTCATATCTTCAGTTAAATTTCAGAAGGCCTGCTGAAATGCAAACAATAAAATTGTCACCTTGTTTTTCATGCCTGCAAAGAGAAGTGAAATAAAAACCTCGATATTACCTTGATGCTTTACATTTCAAAACTTTACAGAACAAGTCGGTTCTGGATTTTTAACTATCCAGTTTAATCCAACCATTTTCTAAAACGAGTAGGAATTATTTCTCATAATAAAGACTACGATCAGGGGGAATTAGTGTCTACTTTTGTTGTTTATCTGAATCCCAAATGATCCCCAAATCTTGGATCTATGAGCAAAATTTCAGATAGAAGTTACAAGTGACAATAAAACAAGTTTTAATAATACAAAAATAGAAAGTTTTTCTGTTAGAACCAAAACACAGGCTTAAAACTGCAGTCTGACAGTAATATACTCAGAATAATCACAGACACAGTCAACTATGTTCTACTCCAACTCCAGACAATACTCCATTCCCTATTTCTATCTCAGTGAGATTTCCCAGTTCTTGTTAGGGACCCTGTCTGATAGCCCTTTTCAAAAATAGATACATATCTATTTTAGGGGGAGGGTTTCTTTTTTTTTTTTTTTTTGTCTTAAGCTTTAAGATGCTTAAGGTTTTATTTTCCGAAGATTAATCAAGAGAAAGATTTCCTTTCTTCCTGCCCTTTTTGGGCAGGGCAGTGAGGGACAGGGAGCCCAGAGAGAAGGAAGGACGGGGCCACACAGTGACACCTGAGGACTGGGGGCTGAGATGGAAAACGCTTTCAGAAGTGGGGAAAAGATGAGAGAGAACGTCAGACGATTCCTAAAAGGCAGATAACTTCATCAAAGTTACTTCTGCAAGACTGTCTAACAACCACAGAATCATACAAAACCTGGCAAGATCAAACCAATGACCCTACCCACATACAGCATTTGGAGACTTTAAAAGTGCTGCCCAGGAGCTGGAGGGACAGTGCAGTGGGGAGCCCAGGCTCCATCCCCTGCACTCACCATGGTCCCCTAGGACCCACCTGGAGTGATTCCAGAGCACACAGGAAGGAAAGAAAAAACCCTGGACACGGCTGGATGGCCCCCCCAAAAAACAAAAGTGATATACAGAGGACTGAGGAGAAGGCTCAGTGGGCAGGAGTTCACTCTGTATCCAGAAGCCCCGGGTTCGAGTTTCCAATACACGCCCCAAGCAGTACTTCCCAGCTCCCATGGTGGCATTCCAGATGTGATCCTTATGATACACTATTATGCATTCGTTAAAATATTTCTCAATCTCATCACTAGGAAAAAAGTTACAATAATGTATGGGTAAAACTAGATTTATTGTGCATTAAGTCACTATAATCATTTCATAATGAAATGGGTTATATCACTATGATCAACATATAAATGGCATACCAGCAGCTACATACCTGAAACTAATGGAATGTTTATAAAAAAAAATTACACTTTGGGGCTGGAGCGATAGTACAGCCAGGCAGGACAGTTTCCTTGTAGGCGGCTGACCCGGGTTCGTTTCCCAGCATCCCATATGGTCCCCCGAGCACCGCCAGGAGTAATTCCTGAGTGCAGAGCCAGGAGTAAACCCTGTGCATTGCTGGGTGTGACCCAAAGAAGAAAAAAAAAAATTACACTTCAACTAAAAAAAATGTTTCTCAGGATAGATAGGAGGAAGACAATTTTCATTCTGCCTTTTCTATATCTTGTGAATTTATTTCTTTTTTTAAAAAAAGTAAAACACAATCATGTGACATGTCCACAGTATTGCAGGCTTCTGTGAAATGCAGGCTTCAAAATCACGTGGACAACAAATATCTAATTTTATGACATTATGTGCATATAGTGTACACAAAAATCTTGTAAGGGTGGGAGGGTTGCTGGGAGATAGTTCAGCTGTTAGGGCACATGCTTAGCATACACCTGACCCAACACCACACGGTCCCCTGAGGTCACTAGGTGCAGCCTTGTAAGTCCCCAGCACCCAAGAGTGGCCCCAGGTAATCCGCAGTACCACAGGGTTGAGCCTCATCTCCCCCCTGCTGACCCCCCCCCCCCATAGTGATGAAGAGATTGAAAAGATAAGGCAATTTTCCTGCACGACTTTTTGGAACTACTTAAGAATCAGTTCACATAGTTTAATAACAAAAGTTAACGCAGACATTCTTTTAAAATAATTTTTGGCTTGCTTTGTGACCTGGCCAGCACAGATTAATAAGTTTCCAGGAAAACAAAACTTGATTTCTTCTATCTCTGCTTTTCGATTTAAAATCCATTTCTTTGCTTGTCCTTTTTCCTTTCAGGGCTGGGAACCAAACCCACGTCTTCAGCCAGGCAATGCAGATTCTCTACTGCCGAAATCATCCACAGCCTGCATTAATGTTTTTAAACAATATACCATACTTACTCTCTTTTCTCTGGTAGATCTTAGCCGATGATCTTCCTATTCTATTTCAGCTTTCCCACCTTTAGATGACCGTATTTCTGATTTTTGGCATTTCGTTTTGCTATAGCAAAAAGGCATTTTAATCCGCTCTGTGAAAAAGAACAAAAACATCCATCACTGATAGTCATCTTAATAATGGGAATCCAGTATAACTGATTCTAGATCTCTGCTTAGGGGAATCTGAATGTTTGCAGGATTAAAGCAAATAACCATTTATTTCCTTCCTTCTGGCAAAAGGAAGGAAGGGGATACTTAGATTGAATGCCCATCGAAGACTCCAGTAGTTGAGGATCTTGAAACATTTTCCCGGGCCAGAGAGAGAGAATATAGGGGATAAAGTGGTTGCTTTGCATGCTGCTGACCCCAGTTGGATCTCTGGCACCCATATGGTCCCATGAGCACCATCAGGTGTGGCCCGAGCTGCCTCCCTGGCCCTCACCCCCAATCGAAGGGGATCCTGCATACTCTGCAGTTTAAATTAATAGCTCCCAAGCGGGAAGCTTCAGGGCTTTTGGATACTTGTGGCATGTTAACAAAAATAACATTTTCTTAAATGAAAAAATTATGAAATTTTTCCCTAAACAATTTAGTGAGCAATCATTCCACATTTCACACACTGTTTTCTGTGTCTGACTCCATGACAGACAGCTGTGCTATGACCTACCACGTCACTTCTGGACAGCGCTCTACAAACACGGAAAGTCTGAGAGACAGAAAGGCCACGTTGCCTCCTAACGTCGCTCCACTCAAGCAGCAGTGCTGCTCAGTGGTGTGCGCTCTGAGGCAACGCTGGCCTCACCTCTCTGGGGGAGACGCTGCCACAGAAGGGCCTGCCTGCAAGTCTGGCCCCAGCACTGCTGGCTGGTGCGACCCAATCCCACGCCTCTCCCGTCTCAGTCCCTGGCCCGTGGCAGCGGTGTGAGTCTGTGTGCAAGTGCTCCAACTGAAGTGTCACCCTGGCAAGCACCAACTAAAGGAGCGTGAGCAGGGGTGTGAGTCTGGCATGAACCTGGGCAAGCACTGTGAGCATCGCATCTGCATGCAATCCCCCAGTGGGAGCTGCCCCCCGGGTGCTCCCCAATGAACACCAGACCCACTGCGCGCCACCTGCCATCACTGAAACAACTGCCATGAAGGTAAGACGGGAAGTAAAGCCAACCCCTAACACACACACACACACACACACACACACACACACACGTCTGTACGAAACCATGGCGTGAGGAGATGAAAGTGACCACTTCGGCATGAGTGCTGTCACTCACAGTGCAGAAAGCCCGTGGGAAGCAACGTACTGAGCCTGAGTCACAATTATGTGTGTCAACCCAACCCTATGACAATCATTAACGTACAATATTACTTTCCTCCGGAGGAAACTGGCTCGAGGGTTAATAAGTACTTTTCCCTGTGAAATAATATATAAGGGACGGAACTAGAGTTCATCCTAAGGTCTGATTTCTTCAGTAAATCTCAATGAAGGCTGGACTCACTCTGGAAATGAAGAAAAGAACCCAAGTTACGTCAGTGAAAGAACCTTCCCAGAAGGTAAATGTCCAAATAAAAGCAAGAAAGTTGATTCATGGGTACCCTGATGGCCATGATTAAACTAATTTGCTCATCTGGATAATGTAATTTTATTTCTACAAAAGGTAAATATAAACTAGCTTTAAAATTTTTTAAAAAATTTTTATTAGTGAGACACCATGAGGTACAGTAAACTAGCTTTTAAAAGTGTAGTCCATGCCTGATACGAGAATTCATTGAAAAAAAAAATACCACACTTGATCTTAGTCAAAAGGGTAAGAAGTGATTGAACTTAGTGAAAAAATATGATTCAACCCTGACACATTTTTGTGTTTCTGTTCTTAGGAGGGAGGGGGTTTTAAGGCAGCAGTGCTCAGGGGCTACTCAGCTACTTTTGGCGTTGTGTCTGGGGCTGCCCAGGTCGTGCCTGGGAGACCAGGTGGTGCCAGGGTCAAACCCAGGCAGCTTCTTGCATGCAAAACATGTGCTCAACCTGTTTAGCTTCCTTTTTTGGGGGGGAGGTCACACCCAGCGATGCACAGGGGTTACTCCTGGCTTTGCACTCACGAATTTCTCCTGGCAGTGCTGGGGGCCCTATGGGATGCTGGGAATCGAACCCGGGTCGGTCATGTGCAAGGCAAATGCCCTTCCCGCTGTGCTATTGCTCCGGCCCTTTACCTTCCTCTTGGGACCAGTTTGACAAGTTTTTCTAAAAGTGTGTTGATAAATATAAATTCATTTACAAAGCATAATTAAATCCAGTACAGAAAAAAAAATCAAGTGGAGAAAACAAAACTTTTTATTTCACTTTTAAAAATAGGAAATACAATCTTCAGTCTAAAACTTGAATTATATACCAATTAAGGACAATATTTAGAACTTAGTTGAATTCACTGAAATCAAGAATTACAGAGGACAACTACAACTCTGAACTTTTTTTTTTTTTTTTTTTTTTGCTTTTTGGGTCACACCCGGCAATGCACAGGGGTTACTCCTGGCTCTGCACTCAGGAATTACCCCTGGCGGTGTTCAGGGGACCATATGGGATGCTGGGAATCGAACCTGGGTTGGCCGCGTGCTAGGCAAACGCCCTACCCCTGTGCTATTGCTCCAGTCCAACAACTCTGAACTATTTGTATGTGAGAAGAGTATTTGGCGATAGGCTGAAATGTGTTCTCTGAGTATCTGTATAGTGAAGTCCCACCTACCCCGCCATCTCAGACTGTGACTGTACTTGGGAGAGAGGGCTGATGAAGAGGCGATCAAAAGGTAACGAGGTCAATTAGATGGATCCCATCCAACTGACCCATTCTTTTAAGAAGCGCTGTGGATGCACCGGGGACCTCAGGAGTGTGTGAGAGAGGAGAAGCGCGGGAGGGCGTGGCAGGGAGAGGCGTCAGAGAAGCCTAACTGCTGAAGACCTTTACTGTGCACTTCCAGCCTCAGAATTGCCAGAAAACAGATTTCTATGGCTTAACTTAGCCAAGCACCAGTATTTTATTAGGATGGCCGTAACAGCTCGTATAAATTGCTGGAGAGACATAAGTATCGGGTAGGGCACCTGCCTTGCGGACAGACAACCCGGTTTGAACCCCAGAACCACATATGGTTCCCACGAGCTCTGCCACGAGTGAGCCGGAGTGCAGGGCCAGGAACAAGTCGTGAGCACAGCTGGGTGTAGTCCCCGAATAGAACTAATACAAATAGCTATTTTTTTTCTTTAAAAAAATCATTTTTAAAGTAAAAATACATCAAGATTAGAGATCTTCTCTAGAATTTGCTTCAAAATAACTGGGAAGGGGAGAATGGGGGGTGGGAGGAATACTGGGACCCTTGATGGTGGAGGATGGGCACTGGTGGAGGGATGGGTACTTGATCATTGTATAACTGAAACCCAAGCACAAAAATTTGTAAGTCTACAACTGTACCTCATGGTGTTTCACTAATCACTTGATCACTTGATACCCCGTTACTCATGGATTTACTCTAGCGGGTGCCAGTAGTGTCTCCATTCATCCCTGTTGCGTGCTAACTTTTGGCTATTATTAGGTGTTTCACTAATAAAAATTTAAAAAAAACTGTATATGTGTTTAGGGTGGGAGCGGTACTGATGGGGACACAGAGGTAAATTTGTGTCTTTAAAGTTCTTAATACACTTGTAATCCTGACACCTCTGATCATATTTTACAGTGTAGGTGGCATGATCACAACAGTGTTGACATTTATGGCATTGACTGCTTCACTGCCACAGTGAGCCTAACCCTCCACCAACGTCATGGCGCTACTAATAAATCTCTTCCTTTCTCGCCTCTGCTCCCCCTCACTGCTGGGTCACACACAGTCCTCCCGTTGTTTGCTCGAGCGCGCCCAGTAACGTCTCCATTGTGAAACTTATTACTTTACCGTGTTTGGCATATCGAATACGTCACGGGGAGCTTGCCAGGCTTTGCTGTGCGGGCGAGATACTCTAGGTAGCTTGCCAGGCTCTCCAAGAGGGACAGAGGAATCAAACCTGGCTCGGCTGGCTGTGCGCAAGGCAAACGCCCTAGCTCCAGCCCTGGGTAATCTGAGTTTTTGAATTTTTGAATTCAAGGCCCAGAGTCTGCCATCATTTGAGACTGTCTCAAGGCACTATTTTAAACACGGGCCCCACCCAGCGGTGCTAGGGGAGTTTGATGTCGGGGAGCTGTGTAGTGCCACGGATCAAACTCAGGGTCCTGCCCAGGCTAGGCATTTGCTTGTTCTACTGCTACAGTCACATCTCCAAACCTTTCATAATATATATATATATATATATATATATATATATATATATATATATATATATATTTCTGCTTTTTGGATCACACCCAGCGATGCACAGGGGTTCCTGCTGGCTCTGCACTCAGGAGTTACTCCTGGCGGTACTCGAGGGACCATATGGGATGCTGGGAATCGAACCCGGCTCGGCCGCATGCAAGGCAAACGCCCTACCCGTGCTATCTCTCCAGACTCTATACCTGTGCTATCTCTCCAGCCCTTTTCATAATTTTTTAAAGACACAAACTTACAATGACAAAAAAAATTATCAGGGCCCAGGAGCTATTACAAGAGTCTGAGCACATGCTCTGCGTGCAGGAGCCCTGGCTGGGTTCCCAGTCCCGGATGGTCCCTTGAGCACCACAGGGAGTAATACCCAGCACAGAGCCAAAGTAGCTCCTGAGCACACTGGGTATAAGCCCACTCCCCCCCCCCAAAAAAATAAGAAGAATTGAGAAAAAAATCCAAAGGTCAGAAAATGAATGGCTGAATGAATAAGAACACATAACTTAGCGCCTTGCCACTCAAAGTGTGATTCGAAAGAACAGTCACTGAAGCATTGTCAAAAAGCGTGTTATACCGAAACTCAGGTCAACTCGGACTCGCTGAATGAGCCTGTGATTTCTCACTTCCACTCCCGCTGCTGCTGTTTCTGTTGCTGTTGATTACATACCTGAGCTGGTGCACACCTCGAGCTGTGGTGCTCACTGGGGTTACCTCAGGTTGTGGTGCTCACACACCCAGCTGAGGAGCTCAGTGGGGTGTG